CTGTATTTATACACACACACGCACACACACACACGTGTGTGTGTGTGTGTGTGTGTGTGTGTGTGTGTGTGTGTGTGTGTGTGTGTGTGTGTGTGTGTGTGTGTGTGTGTGTGTGTGTGTGTGTGTGTGTGTGTGTGTGTGTGTGTGTGTGTGTGTGTGTGTGTGTGTGTGTTTTCCACTCATAGGTAGGACATAGGCCTCTCAATTCACTATTGAGAGGTTATATGGCAGTGCCACCCTTGTCTGATTATAGATGGTAGAGATGTAGAGCTGTAGAGCTGTAGAGATATAGATATATATAGATATGTCTATCTATCTATCTATATCTATATAATTATACATGCACATACACACATACATATAGATGTAAATATATGTAGAGGTAAATATATATGTGCATGTATTTATATATACATACTGATTTATACACACCTTTCCACACATACGGATGGGCCTCGACACAAGATGATTATCCCAAAAACCAAGTCTTCTTGTTTGTTTAGTTTTGTACAATAAATAAGTTTCAAATAACTGATACATAACAAGCAATACACATGTCTTACATTTTGTTAGCTTTATAAATGCATAAATATTTGTAATTATTCTAAAGAAATTACAGAAAATTAAGTCTTTATTTGCACCCTAGAATAGCCCATGAATTTGTCTAGGAATGGTTAATGGTTAATGGTTAAAAGCAAGATAAATGTGCTAGACATCTAAGGTCATGTAGCACTATAGTTAATGTTTGTGAAAGGTGGTTGAGTTAGTGATTAGTTGTCTAAGCTGGGCAAAGGAATTGGTGAGTCAAAGGGTTAAGGTCGGGTGTTAGATTAGATAAAGGATATGTATGTGTTTGAGGAAAGAGAACAGGTTGTTGATGCAGAAAGTTTGGGATTCTGTAAGGATGTCTGATAGGTTGGGAGGTCAGTGAAGGGAGGATAGGTGGGGGAAAGCAGAGGTACGGGCTGCTTCAAAACATGGGCACGACAATAGGATGTGTACGATTGAATTCGTCTAGGAAAGAACACTCTAGATCTGGTTAAATACCCACTTTATTCTTCTTCCAAGAGTTTTGTGCACATGTGGTTGTTTTTTTATGTTCCTGCTTGTCTCACCAGTGCCATTGGTGGTAATCTACAGGATAAAAAAGTACCAAATTCATTAACTTTTCAAGTTCACTACCACTAAGCTGTCTAGCTCTTCCTTGTATCTCACATTCCACACCATCCATGAACAATGAAACGAGCACTGGATTCAATGGAATTTTATTGTTACACAAAATGAATTCTGAAGTGGTCATCCACCATTACACTACTAAAAGGCGTTTTAATTACTTCATAAGAGGCAGGAGTACACACTGATACAAAGAGTCTCCCTAACCTCTAATGCCTTGTCAAAATATGTTTCAAACATCTATTTGTACCTTAACCTTTATAAGTTCAATTTAAAATAAAATAAAATAAAATAAAAATCTAGTTCATACTTCTTATTAGGTCTGTTAAACATGACATTTTGCTTCTGACATTTTAACAATTATAAATTTACTCAAAATAGCTTACATTTCAGCAGCTTTATTCCAAAGTCTCTGAACAAGGTTTGCTGAGCTTGACATCCTTACATAAAATAAATACAAAGAGTAATCAAAATACAATTAATATTTTCATTCAGTTTTTTTTCTGAATTAATGACAATGGGACTGAAATAATTCAATTTATATGAACACACAAGTTGCATATAAATACACTTTTGCCATTCAGGCAGTTGCTTCTCTCTACCCTACAGCCTCTTAATAAGGTCTGGACCTTCCAGGGCCACGGTCTCTGCAAATGAAAACATTAGAAAATCATTAAAAAGTCTGAATATAGCTCCTAAAATCCAGTTTAACCCATTCCCGCCGGGCTTGCCATGCCATGGCCACTGTGAGATTACTTGTTGGATTGTTTTCACACATAGATGGCTACACTTGTACTAAATCACTAATGAGCCAGTTTCGAGTACCGCCTATCTCGCCCGTTCACCCTTTTCTTTGATTTACGAAATATTTTACATTCTCTTATTTTGTTGTTACTAATGTTAAAAAACATTATAAAAATTATAATGTTTATGATAAAAATAACACCATCGATATTCATGGCACTAGTGAAAAATACGTTTTTCCCGCCATTTCAAATCAGGCCCTAACAGAGCCATCTATGGGTAGACATTTAACAAGAAAGTATAGAAAATAGGCACAGCATTTTCCCCATTTTTTGTTCATTTTCCGCGGCGGCAATGGGTTAAACTAATACCATCTAATAGATGCTGAAACATGATTTATGACTATACTAAAGAAAAGCTATGCAGAAATAATGATTCAATAACATGGCAAAAACAATAGATACTAACCCTTTCATTGGTCCACCAGAATCTCTGTCTCCATCCCTGTCTCCACCATAGCCTCCACGACCTCTGAATCCACCTCTTCCACGGTCTCCTCCCCTGCCTCTGAAACCTCCACGGT